CCCCCCCCCCCCCCCCCCCCCCAGTCCCAAGTTCAGACGTTAAGTGCGATACTTCAAATGTTCTAAATGTCCCATTTCTATCCAGCCTTGCATTTGTTTAGTTCCCCTAACAACGGTTTCTCAACTGCACAAGTCATCTAACTCTTACCGTATAATTCTTTGGTTACTTAACAATTCGCCTACAAATTTTATATAATCAACTGATTGGCATTTCAATTATTTTATGATACTTATTTAACTGTTTAGTCCATATAAGTACAATTTAACAATTATTTGTCATTTTTATTTTTTAACTTTCACTGACATCAAGACATGTGCTGGCGGGTATTTTTTGAGGGGGGTAACATGACACTCATAGACTCAATTAGTTTAATCCCTAAACTGTTCTTCTATCCTCACGTCCCCTCTTTTATTTTCGTCAGAGTATAAGCAGCCCATTTCAACGTAGTTCACAATGCATCCTATATTCTACACATGACTGAGTATCTAGTAGAAAGAACAATGACGACTTACGCACGAAACACCTTCTACTTATGGTCCCAATCCAGCAAACCGCCCCTAGGATGTGAAAGGAGATGTGCAGAGTGTGACCCTTGATCCCATCTTACTCCACTGTCTCACTCAAATTGGAATTATAGACTCACGTTCGTGTCCTCTTTGTGTTCGTGAGACCCGATGATTAATTTGTCTACACCTGTGCTACATAACATCTCTGACAACAAAGATCAGAGGTTATTTAGCGTCTAATAAGATAATACAGTTGTTTAAGCGTTTATTTCAAACACTGTATCAACTACAACGATTATTTTTAACTGATAAACATGACAAAGAAACTAGGTTATTGATTATTTTACGGCACTGTACGAATTACACTGGTTATTTGCTATGGAATAAGAATAGCATGCGGGACATGTAGCGAGCATGGATGGGGCAAGAGGTGTGCACCGGGTATTGGTTGGGAGACCTAGACGTAGATGGGAGGATAATGTCAGGCGGGATCTATGGAAGATAGGAGTTTAAGGAGACTGGATTTTGTTGGCCCAGGACAGGGTTCGGCGGAGGGCTTTGGTTCATTCGGTGATGAACCTTCGGGTTCGGTAAGTCATCTAGTTAGTTAAGAATAGCATAATTTATTATTCAGTTATTTTACTGTGTCATAAGCTGCTAAGTTGTTTCCTGTTAATTACGATTAAATTATTATTCGGGTATTTAAAATGATGTGGGCGTGTGGACTGGATACATTACAGCAAATTAGATTTTTATACAGTGTAAAATTAACCGAAATAATAATTATTTAGGTACAATTTAAAGTACCAAGCGATGTTCTCTCTTAAATTTTCGGCTATAGAAGTGACAAAACCTATAACATAAAATAATAAAATTAAACATGAAACTGCATCTCCATATCTTCAGGTTACAAGTCTAACAACAACTGTGCTCGCTTGAATGTTACACAGACATGCATGTGGCATTAACTCTCTGGTATTAAATGAATGATTTAGTGTCTTCGGTTGCTATTAAATGAAGCAACAAATTTAGCTGCTTGTTGTGTACGACATTAGGTCATCCGTGTTAGAAAGTAAGGTTGCATAATTCGCTGTGTTACATTGTTCTAAAAAAAACACACTTCTTACATTAACGAGCGCCAAAATGATGTAAAACATTCGTCACAGGCCTAAGAAAGACAAGACTAGATATCTACATCTACTTACTTATCACGATTTTCACACATAATTTACACAGATTAATTTCGAGGTATTCATTATGTCTTATAAAAAACAAATGTTATGATGGGGGGGGGGTCGGCCACGAATAAACGTGGCATTCAAATTAGAACATTCACCGCGTGGAACAGGAGAGCAGAGAGAAGTGCTTTGACACCCCATCTGTATATTCAATCGAAGGCAATTTATTAACATTCCGATAAAGAACTCGAGATAAGGCTTTACACGAAGTAAGGTTTATGAAGAGAAATTTGGCTGTCACGACGGTCAGTAAAATATTCAGGACTACCGAATCAATGTTACAGTCATCAAATATGACGTCACTACTGTTACTCTTGATTTCTATTACTCCGCGTGTAGCTTATCTGGTTCGCAATCGAAACGCCAAGATTCAAATGCATTCGAGACCAGTAATTCTAATCGACAATTTACCAGAATAAGTCAAAACTTATGCGTCTCTTCAACATAAATGTACGTGAAATAGGAAAGCCAGCAGAAGTTATGAAAACTTATTTTTCCAGGATTATTGCTCAATTTTTCAATGTAGTTTGAACGAAATGTCCACCAGTTTTCCGACTACATCAAAATAAAATATCTTTATTCAGATCTTAGCCGATTCTTACACATCTTTTTTCAATGGATGATGCTATTTTAGATGCAGTTTCATCAATAGTAATCATTCGATTGTCCCACATACAATTATCGACCCATTGGTTAATCTGAACATATGCTATTGTAGATGTCGACCAGAACGCCAATTATCTACAATACTCGTCCGCCACTCTTTGAATATTTCCACACA